CCTCCATGCTGGAGTAATATAGAAAGATTGAAGAAAATTGCAGAAGCATCTCTAGTTCTACTGGTTGGTGCAGAAGAAGAAGTAAAGAAAAGAAGAATATACCAAGTTGTTTTATCTGGTTATTGGGATTCAAAGGCAGAGAGGAGCAGGAATCATTTTGGTTGTTTTCATATCTAAGCTTGTCTTCTTCCTGTGGGAATATTGCACATGAGAAAGTGATTACGAGAATGGCTAGCAAGCGATACGCACCTAAAGCAAAGAAGAAGGTGAAGATTGCAGAGAAGAGATTGTCGATGATTGCAGAAAAATAAGGAAAGAGGAGAAAAAAAGGAAAAAAATCTCTTGATTGAAGGCACTAATACTGGATTGAGAACCTTTTAAGGTGGAATGTATATATTCTATAAACAAAACTTGTGTAGGTCGGGTAAATAATAAAACATGGACATTTTTCGTAATAAGGTTTCAAATAGTGTATATGTATGAAAAAATCTCTTTATCATTTAATGTTCAGGCCCAAACTATTTACTTCTTCTACTCATGTGGCCCAAACTATTTACCTGGCCCATGCATTAGCTTATTCCCCTCATTTAATGCCTCAGTTAACGCTATTTCACCTAGCCATTTCTTTCATTTTAAAAATCCCATAGTCAAACCATGAGAAATCATATTTCACACAGCAGTTACTGATTTGACTTGTGAATTTTTCTTCCGATTTTGTTTCTATCTTTAATATTCTTGTACATGAGTTTCACTCCAAAATCCTCTTTCTATATTAGTATTTTTTTGTATTTTTTTTTTTGAACCCATGTGTTGTTGCAGTTATATATTAAGTTTTTCAGCTCTGATTTTTGTGTGTGTACGAAGATCCACCATTGATGAGCTTGAAGCTCCTGTATTTAAAATTTTATTTTGATGATTTATTGTTTGATTCGACGTGGATGCTATAAAATATCGATTATAGTACCTTCAAGTAAGCTTCTCGGATCTGAATTTTTATGTGTATTTGAATATTCACCATTGTTGGGCTTGAAGCTCTTGAATTTAAAATTTTTATTTTGAATATTTCTTGTTTAATTTAAAGTAGGTGCTGTAAAATATTGCTTATAACCTTCTGGAAGTTCATACTGAAATTTGATAGCATTTGGAGCTGATTTGAGGTGATTGAGATCGAAATTTTCGGCTAAAAATCGAAGAAGAACACAACTACTCAATAGTATACCGCTACGGTATACAATATATTGTAGGAGTATATAGCTATACTGCAACAGTATACTATTATAGTTTACAATATACTGCAACGGTATATTGTAATAATCGAAGAAGAACACAGTTACCTAACAGTATACCGCTACAGTATACAATATATTATAGGAGTATATATAGTTATACTACAACAGTATACTATTATAGTATACAATATATTGTTATAGTATACTGTAATAATATGTAATATACTGTAATAGTATATATTATACCATAATAGTATACTTATTACCCGTAAATTCACTTGCCTTTTTCATTTTAATTTGCTTTAAGCTTTTACCCAGCGTGAGGGGCAAATTGAAAATGCAAATCTTTTTTTCGTTTTGATTTATTCTATGACTTGAATTCCATGACTTCTGACTTCTGCAATGCATTAATCTGTCATTGGAGGACCTTGAAGCTTTAAAATTCATAAATTGGGTTTGTTGAGTTTGTGGTTATTTTGAAACTCAAAACAAGAAAAAAAAATTAACTCTTTTCGTACAAGTGTATACCATGTTGGTATAGCTATATACTATACTGGTATCATATGTTAGTTAATATTTTTTGATTGTATTAGCTACATATAATTGATACACAATTTGATTTTTCTTTAGTAATAGTATAAAAAAAGAATAATAAAAAATAGTGAAAACAGTAAATGAAATTAGATTACGAAGAGAAAAGGAATATAAAAAAAAAAGTTAAATGGAATTAGAAAAGGAAAAAAGAAAAAGCACAAGAAGAAAATGAGAAAAAAGAAAAGGAGAAAAGAAAAAAAAGAACCATAGAAATAAAAAAGAATTGGAGAGTAAAGAAAAATTTCCCCACAAAAACTACTATGGGTAGGAAATATAATTAATTTGAAGGGTAGAAAAATAAATCGGTAGATAAGAGTAAATAGTTTTGTTTTTGTGGGTAACTGTGTCATTCTCTCTATTTTATGGTCACCAAGCCCACTAACTAATGTCTAAGTAAAAATAGCACGGGCTAGCCAATTTTCGGACCGGTGATTAAAAAATAGCCAGAATTTATAAAGTCATTAAAAAATAACCACTTATTTGCTGCAACATGGAAAGTTCCAGCATAATATACTTGAGAGTGGACAATTCCAACATATTATGCTGGAACTCCAGCACACGAGAAGTTACAACATAATATACTTGAGAGTGGACAATTCCAACATATTATGCTGGAACTCCAGCACACGAGAAGTTACAACATAATATACTTGAGAGTGGACAATTCCAACATATTATGCTGGAACTCCAGCACACGAGAAGTTACAACATAATATACTTGAGAGTGGACAATTCCAACATATTATGCTGGAACTCCAGCACACGAGAAGTTACAACATAATATATTGGAGATTGGAGCACATGTGTATGAACTTCCAGCATATTATGCTGGAACTATAGTATATTATGATGGAAGTTCACGTGTTAAAAATTCGAACTCCAGTATATTATGCTGGAATATTTTCCGGATTTTGAACACTGTTTTTGTTCAAATTTATCTTTATATGAAAAGTGACCAAAATTTCGGTTACTTTTGAAATTGTGACTATTTTTTAATTACCACTTGTAAATCTGCCTATTTTTAAATTTCACCCAATATCCGAACTATCTTCCATATCATTTTACCTTTTTAAAATGAAAGACTAAAGGTGTGTTTTGGTACGAGCAAGACTACTATCGCGAAAAATATTTTCTTGAAAAACAAGTTATTTTCTTACTTATTTTCTAATATTTGGTTAGCTACAAGAAAATATTTTTGAAAAAATATATAATCTAGGCAAATATTATAGAAGACGAAATGGATGAGGGCTGGGGG